CCCCAAAACCCCAAAACCCCAAAACCCCAAAACCCCAAAACCCCAAAACCCCGAGATTACGGTGAAATATTGAAAATCGAATCTGATAAATAAAATTTAAATATAAATAAAATTAAGATAAAATATGATATATCTAAACGAAAAGCTCATAAAAATTAATGACAGATGTACATAATCCAAACTTAAAGTAATCTGTTACATCGATCCTTCTTAAACTGCTTAATAAATACAATTCCCCTTCATAACTGTAGCTAAACCTGTAATTCCCGAAAAGGGAATAAAAAGAAACTGTAGTATGTCTTTACTTGTTCTGCTTAAAAGAAACCACCAGAGTGAAATTTCTCCACTTTAGCTTAAGAAAGTATCTCAAGACATCAAGGTTGGCTTTATTAGTGCTTAAGTTAAAATGAGGAGTGGGGTGTTTGAAAGAAATCTCAAAATTAGTCAGGTTTACTTTATGAATAACTGCCTCAGACAAGCATCTTTTCAAAGATGAAGCTTCTGATCTCCGAGATTAAGCCCAGAGAAGGAAAGATGCACAAATCAAAGAACACTATAAAGATATTTATTCTTAACAAATTTTCTACAGAGAGATTCTCTTGTTTGGTTCTTCAATTTTTATATGAGGTTAGACTACAAGTGATAAGAGTAGTGACTCCTTCATTACTTTCTTGTCTATTTGTTTTAAATTAATGCAGTAATATTGCTAAATTAATCTTCAGTTTTCAAATGTTACTCTAATTCTTCAACATTTTTGAGCGATTCCAAATATCTGCTTCGGTAATGTGTAAAAACCTAAAAAATCGAGTCTCAATGACAACCTTCAGATGCTAACTTATTTATCAAATAATTCATTAGCATCGAGACTAACAGGGTTTAAAGTCTATTTTGAGCTCTTAAGAGATCAATAGTTTTAAAATAAGAAATTCTGCTATTCCCACCAAACCGAGGAATTCACTACTCAGAAGTTGGAATTTTCTGATTGGCGAATTCTTAGCATTATCTTAAATTGTTTGATGCCGTTCATCCTGAAGAATGCTGAATATCTAAGCTGATGAAAATTTTTACCTAAATCGTACGGTTTGAGTATGAATATTATAAATTTAAGAAATTAGTGAACAACTCATATTAGCAATCATGAACTTCATCTCCAAAAGTCATGAATTCAGGCATCTTTGGTTCTTTCATTAGAAGCATGACATCCTTCATCGAGACTTGTTGACTCTTTGGCATGGGCTTTGAGAAGAGACTCTTTTGGCGCCTGAGTTCAGCAGACTCCTTCAACAAATTACTGATATCGCTTTTTAGTGAAGGTTCTTCCTTTTCTCAATCATTGTCCTCTATTCAATGTTTTTCCATTTTGGGAATTATTTTTCGATGGATTTCTGTCGCCTGAGGATCGTACTTCATACTATTCACTCTGTTTCTCTTTTCTTCATTGCTTAAATCCCATCCCAGAGATTTGCATTTTAACTCAAGCCCGAGCCCTATGAGCTGAGGTAGATCATATTTAGCAGATTTACTCATTTTAGGCCTATTGAATGATGACATATTCATGTTGGTACTAAGCCTCTCGTTGATCTTTACTTTACTAGTAGCTGCATTTTCGCTTAAGAAATCCTCTGAAAGGTTTTCTTCAAAATTTGTGAATTCGATTTTGTCCATATTTATTATTTATCAACTTTCATTCCCTTATTAGTACTTTGGGGTTTTGGGGTTTTGGGGTTTTGGGGTTTTGGGG